GGAAGATCCAGTGTATCAAAGGCCCGTGTGTTCTGTCCAGCACACGGAGTGGACACTCACCACTTCTTGTAGGCGTACTCCAGGTATGAAGCCATGAAGCGCATCTCATACTCGGAGGCGTACTTGGTGTCGAAGACTCCGGCGGGAAACATCTCGGACAGATCCGCCATGAAGGTGGCCAGGCGGTCGGGCAGGTGAGCGTAGAAGCACTGGTACAGGAAGACCATGTCGATCAGCCCGTTGTGCAGCACCAGGGGCTTCCTGGCTCGGAGCAGCTCCAGGAAAAGAGCCCGGATCGTCTGCACCTGAGCGTCCCCTCCCTGCCGGCGCCAGGAGGAAGAGGGACAGATCACAACCTCACCTGTTACAGTATCTGGGAGGTACGTAAAGAAAAATAACACTAGAAACCTTCCATCCTGTTATTAACATGGACCTGTGAGATCAAGACTAGAGAATATCCGGCCTCAGTGTCCGTGTGCTCTCTCAGACTCCAACTGTTTGTTTTTGCCCCATCGGGGGTGGGGGAAAAAAAAAATCTCTTGGGGTATCAAAAGCTTTTAAGTGTCTAAAGAATAATGTGGCGACACACTGGAGCTGGGCTCCATTCCTCACCTTGTCGTTTCCCTTGTGGTAAGGGATGCCCTGGGAGTACTGCTTGTTGAAATCGAACCCGTGCTGCACCAGGAACTGCACGGACTGCGGCTCGATGATGTATTCCTCCATGCACAGCAGGGTCAGGTTGTACACCTGCACCAGGTACGTATCGGCGGCCTGGAAGCACAGGGGACGTTCAGAGGCGGACAGGCCTGCAGGCGACCGGGTTCCGATCCTAATCAACTACATCAGGGTCTCAGCACCTGCGAACACGGCGTGGGCGAACGGACTGATCTGCGATGCGGTCTGACCAATGGCATCTTGGGTGGAGGAAGAGCAGAGTGGGATAGAATCGGGCCGTTGAAGGGCAACTTTCAAAACAGCATGGCAACAGATAAGGAAGGCGAGACAAATCTAGCTGGTGAGTGAGCCCCTCCCTGCCCCCTGCCCAAGAACCCACATCTCAACGCGCTCTTGTTTTTATACTGAACACTCCACGTTCTGTGTCAGCAGTGTGGGGAACGACAGGCTGGACATGACTTTGCGGGCTCACTGCCAGTTTTTTGCCCGTTTCACCACAGTGGGGTGTGCTGATCACAGAGGCAGAGAGCGAAAGTGCAGCCTAGATGCAGGGGAGGGATTGGCGGTTTTTATTTTAGCTGATTACTATAAGTTTATGAATACTGTGGTTTCTTTCAGTTGATCAGTGTAATTTAAATGTATTTAAAGCCATTAATTTAATTATTACAAAAGGATAGGGTTACTTGTGTCTTTTAAACATACATACCAATATACTGTTGTGCATTATGCAATGGTATAGGGGTGGACTTGGTTATATGTGAATTTGGCTATTTATGAAACCTTGAGAATGTCCCTACTGTACTGAACAGAGGACAGTGTTTTGACTACTCTTTCAGCTGTTATCAATTTTCATTTCCTAAATTGCATAGACTCGTCCAATCTGAGGACACTGGCGTGCCAGTCACACTCTGAAAACTCATTAATCCAGACACACGAGTGAGGGCAACTGAGCCAGCCAGGAAGATACCCCTATACTGCTCTTCACCTCCGAATACCGAAAAGAATTTCGGTCATGTCCCCCGCTTCTGAAACCAGAGACAGGCCTTTTTCTCATCGCGTCTCGTGGTGTTTCTACAAGGTGGAAGCCGTGTTGGTTTTTTTTTTTTTGCGGCAACCACACTGGAATTTGAGCGGAAGAAAACGAGAGGTGGTCGCTCCTGACAAGACCCTGTGACCCCATGTGTCTGAGCAGCGCCTGGGTTCTCTCTTGCGCTGTAGTGAACTCTTTCCACCACCCAGTACCGCTCTCTGCTCGGTGACGTTCCTTCTCCATTGTGATCAATGAGTCCTCAACTGCAGTACACTTTTTTAGTCACTGTTCGGACTTGGTTGTCATTTGTACATTTACGTTTGCCTACTGTATCCGATTGGTTCAGGTTTTGCATTTATCAATTAATTGATATTGTAGATTTTGAAAGTTGCCCTGAATATTGACCTCTAACCAAACTAATACTAATTATGGAAATTAGGCAGATTAATGAGGAGGTGGAGCAGTTCCCTTCGTTAAGGAGTGGATCATTGTGAACAGCCGATTAACCTACAAGTGTATCAATAGGAGGAAACCACAGTACCCAGAGAAAATCTATATATAGGCAAGGAGAACGGGAACTCCACCCGGAAAAAACAACAGAGCCTTGAACACTTACTTTGTCCTGGAGCTTCTTAAAACAAGCGATCCCCAAGGACAGAATGGACCGAGTCTGCGCGGCATGGCATATAGCTTTGTAGCGGTCTTCGATACATCTTATTAAACAACATTAAAAAAAAAAACTTTCCAGATCAGACACTTCAAAACGACATCTTGCAAACTATTATTATATTAATTAAAAGGATTGAACAGGTATAACCCTACACCGCACTGAAACAGCACTGGGATTAGTCAGGCAATAGTGTAATTCAGTAATTCAGGTTAATACGCGTCATTTAAAATACTAATAACATGCGCATCATTTTGCAACAAAAAGACGACGGATACAAAGAACGCTGAAAGCAAACTCACTGTGCAAGTAAGGCTTTTCTGGATCCGAGACCGCTCAATTCCTAAAGAAAAAAAAAGTTCAATATGTATTTGCTTTGCTATTGTCTACATCTTAACAACTGCCAACTTTTTAAGCATTAGAAAGATATGAACTCACGGTATCCAAGGCGATGAAAGAGGAGGTTTTTATAGACAGCAATATTGCTGGCCAAAGCTCTTTAAAATTATTGTTCAGAACATCGATGACGGGCACGGTTAAGGAAGTCATTTTCCTCTCTTCACGTGTGCAGACCGGGCGGCTTCTAAAAAGTAGAAATCACAAGAGTGGGTAACAGGCAAGTTATTTTCTTCGATTTAAGTTTTCTCCCTCTTCTCCTTTAACACTTAACATTGTCATATTGCAACGTGATGTGCACAGAATACTTATTTACTGAAACTTCTTCCACAACTCGGCATGCCTGATTAATTGCACTGCACCACACGATGCGGTCAGAAACAGAAGGCTCTTTTTTTATTTGGAAAATGTAGCGTTTATCAATGACAATTCATCACATGGTGGCATCCAGGTGTCTGTGCTGAGGTGTTTCTGGAGAAACTATAAATCAATATCTCCGATGCATAGATGCAAACAAATACCTGAATCTCTTCGGAATTAGTGCATTTTAAGCAACTTACCGAGCTTTTGGTGCAGGTTCGACTACTAACGACCATTTTATGTTAAATGCATCACGAGTAAAGTCCGCTAGGCCGTGATCTATTAATCAGTGACACCATAAGAGTTCACTTAAATCCTCAGAGCCATGAATTCAAGATTTCAGCTTCTATCATAAATCCCACAGTCCTATCCTACTCCTAAAACTGTACAATGCCGAACACAATACTTTCGATTTCGCTTTCCTACAGGTTGGGTCTTTACTGGCCCACGTGATTAGAAACGCTCAAACTGTTTTGGTATTTGTAGTGTTTAATCAAATAAAAAAAATATTCGTGGTTTTCTCAAACACGCATATTGATTAAATTATCTGAGACCATTTTAATGTCTGCAACATATTTTTAAGTATCTTGGCAGTCTATTTAATCAGGCGGTAACAAGGGCACCCTAGCTAAATGACGTCACTAAAAATAGCTGTTGCAGGCATAGTCGCCATTTTGGCTCAAATCTAAGTTAAGGTTTTTTTAATGCTTTGCTACCGTTAACCTTTTTCATTTGCACGGTATTTTGGGTCATTTGTGTCCCAGTCTCACCTCTGATATCAAGAAGTTTCAGGACAGTTTGGTTAATTTTCTATTTCCTGCAACTTATCCCGTAAACCAGAGTTGGGAGCTTCACTTAACTTCTGTACAGGTAAAAAAATGGGAGGATGCTCGGCTCCAAACTGCTCCAACTCTACAACGATTGGGAAGCAGCTTTTCCGTTTTCCAAAAGATCCAGAGCGAATGAGGAAGTGGGTCATCAATTGTCGACGTGATTTTGTACCGACTCCGTGCTCTAGGCTGTGTCAGGCAAGTGAGAATTTAAAACACGTCGAAACTATGATTATTGTCGAGTGCTGTGTGTGATGATCATTTCCACCTCTTACTGCTGTTGCATAACACGTTGAGGTTGAGGAAGGTGTTTGGTCTCGATTTTCAAGGTGTAGGGTTTATTGCAATATCTTTCTCCCGGCACAGGATCACTTTGAGGAGAGCCAGTTTGAAGAGATAGCCAGATCACCCGCAGGAGGAAGGAAACTCAAGCCCAACGCCATCCCCACTCTCTTTGACGTGCCCGACCCCCCCTCGCCTATCTCTGCAGCTCTGCCACCCCTGAAAGCAGAACCCGGTACTTGAAACACCTCCAGCATGAGTCATTCACCATCTGAGTTGGACAGGTCGCCCACTACATGCAAACCATTATTTAGCCTTTTTATTTTCTCCTTAGCTGTGCTAAGAGACTGCCCTTCTTTTAGCTCTTGTATAGAAATAAAAATGCGCTATGACACGTTTGGCAGGCGTTGGCGGAAGGACTTTCGTTTGAAAGAACAAGGAAAACCTACATGGAACTTCTGCCTTAGGGGGACTGAAACCTGTTGATACCCCAAGTCTCCCTCTTGAGTTAGGATTTTGTTTCTGTTCTCTTACTCTACTCATACTTACAAGTAACAAGTGCACTTATATGGTGCTTTTCATCTCAAGGGACCCCACAGACATGAACGCCTAGGAGGGGACCCACTGTGTCCTCCACTGAAATACAGTCCCCCACTTGGGTGGGTGTGGTGTAGGGGTATATAACATGTAGCTTTGAAGCCACAGCACACTCAGCGCTCCTTCTCATTAGCGTGTAGTCACTCACACCCCATGGTGGATGCAGTCTGGGCCCGGGGTGGAAGGGGTGTGAGCCTGTCTGCTGTCCCTGCAGCAGAGAAGGAGCAGACCCTGGTGGACCACGGCTACGCCCGGCGGCAGCCCAGAGGCGGCGAGGCGGACGAGGCCGAGGCCGGCGGCCAGCGGAACGAGGAGGAGATCGCCTGCAGGCTGTGCCAGCAGTACAAGGCGCAGCTGGAGCAGCAGCAGCAGCACACGGCGCGGCTGCAGAGAGAGGTGAGCCCGCTGGGGGGCGGCGGGGTTACCATCCAGCGGAAACGAAAGGGGTGGATAGATGAGGTTTGATTCACCGTGGGGTGTGTGGCTGAGCGTGTCCATTGTGCTACAATGGGAGATGAGACTGGAAGCTTTCAGTTAGGAGAGTGGACAGAGGAGTAGGCACGCTCATCATCAACCAGGATGATGAAAGCTCTGCGACTGTCTCCAGTGGCAGAGCTTTCAGTTTACAGTCATAGCAATCTTGTATTCGCTGTTGCCACTAATATGCTTGTTCCTTGGGCTTTGTCTCTGCTTGTCTTCTCATTGTGCATGTGTGCACTTACACTTATATATCTCTTTTCCACTGGTGGTGGACTCCCCTCCACCACCACCAGTGTGCAGCCCCACCTGGATGATGCGACAGCAGCCATAGTGCGCCAGAACGCTCCCCACACATCAGCGATCAGTGGGGAGGAGAGCAGAGTAATGTAGCCAATTCATAGAGGGGGATTATTAGGAGGTCATGATTGGTAAGGGCCAGGGGGAATTTTGGCCAGGATGCTGGGGTTACATCCCTACTCTTTTCGAGAAACGCCCTGGGATTTTTAATGAGCACAGAGAGTCAGGACCTTGGTTTTGCGTCTCATCTGTAGGACGGCGCCTTTTTACAGTATAGTGTCCCTATCACTATACTGGGGCATTAGGACCCACACAGACTGCAGAATGAGCGCCCCCTGCTGGTCCCACTAATACCTCTTACAGCAGCGACCTTTGTTTTTCTCAGAAGATCTCCCATCCAGGTACTGACCAGGCTCACTGACCTGCTGAGCTTCAGTGGGCTGCCAGTTGTGAGTTGCAGGGTGATATGGCTGCTGGCTGCTGATCTTATCAATCTTATTGCCCCGACACATTGCTGTTTTCTAGGATTTAACAGCTTGAATAAAATGCACAGTATCAAACTGTTGTCAACAGCCCAACTAAGGTGCTCCGTCCTGCGTGAGAGTGAAAGTCTCTTGCTTGATCTTGTGTTTTTACTGTGTTAGAGTTGGTACACTGCAGTCTGCAAATTGTTATCAAATCACAAAATAAAACAATGTTTTAACCGCAAATATGATGATTAACACTTATTTTCTGGTGATGCTTTCTGTACAGCTGGCATTTTCTAGAAGAGATCATGGAAATAACCGCCAGAAATGAAACTAACCCATTTTCTTTGTAACGCAGGCTGAAGAAATGAAGAAAAAACTGAATAAGCTCAACAAAATAGAGAAGGGTCTGCAGATGTTCCTGTTCGACGATCAGATCCGGGCCCTGACGCTGGCCAAGCGCTCCCGCAGGGCGGTGTGGTCTCAGGAGACGGTGCTGACCGCCAGGAGGATCCGAGGCGCCGTGGGGGTGAAGGGCTACGAATTCCTGCGAGAACTGGGGTACCCCCTCCCATCCTACAGGACTCTGTGTAACCGAGTAGAGCCCAAGATGATGGGGCCGCCAGCGATGGAGGAGGAAGTGGCCGCCATCGGGCTCTGAGAGGTCGCCTGTGTTTTCTCATGCGGCTCTGGACTTTTGAGCTGGACTGGCCCCTTCGTAAGGAGCACAGAGAGAGGGCAAAAAAAAAAAAACCTCTTCACATTGAACACGTTCCTGCAATTGTCTGTGAAGAGCGCCGGTTTAAAGATGTTCCATGCAGGTCATTACTTCTTGACAGAAAGATGCTACGCTTATAAAGCTTATTAATAGGATACTACTGAAATCCAGAGGGGGTTTTGTCCTGCTAAAATGATTGTTATATCATTTTGTTTAGGCTGTTTCGGTGTGTGGTTTATCTTCAACCATACTTAATTGAAAATTAAAGAAACACTTTTTTATGTTTGAAAATAGGTTCTTCCTAGGGCAATTATAAACTCCATTGAACTGACTTTTAAATAACCGTATCCTTGGCTGTTATTGGCCATTCTCAATCATCAGTCGTGGCCTTTTAACTTATTTTTATATGTGTTTATTGTGGAGTTCAAGTAACCTTCATGACCTTTCTTTAAGTAATGCTTCAGTTTCTATTCATAGGAGGGCTTATGATCAAAGAACGATCGCATAGAGAAACAGTTAGGCTATTAATGATTCATATGAGCTTGATTTTGATCTGAGAGTCATGACTTGTCACTACAAATTGTATGCCAAGGACAGTGACTTTACCTGTACAGCGTGAACTGTTGCAGTTCTATTTTTTTGTGAATGAAGTACTGAGTGTTACTGTGGATGAGTGGGGAATTTAAACCTTAATTTGGATAAGGTATAACTGTAGGATTTCCCATTGATGTGTAAGCATGCCATTAGGAAGTCA